AGCTACTTCCTGCAATCGTCGCGAGATGGCGTCAAAATGACTGATAAGGCGTTATATATATATATGAATTGGTACTTTATAAAATCCGTTAATTTATGAAATAACTATTTCAACTTATTGAATTATAAAAAAAAAACAGAATTACAAGCTCAATTGTAACAAAAGAATTCACGAGAAAAAACTAATTAAAGTATGAAATCGCAATTTGAGAATATCACAACTAACAGAACATTAGTACAATAATAATATTCTTTTGTGCTTCCCCTAAAACGACCAGTTATTTCATGTAAGATGTAGGGATTTCATGATTTAACTGAATTATACAATATAACGATACATATATAAAGCAATAAGAGTAAAGAGGTTTAGAGGTTATATCAGCGTACAAGTGGTGTCACACGAAATAATATTCGTTAGAGTAATTTTATTATAAACTTTGTTTCTTTTTTGTTAGTGTTTATTGAATCTTCTCATATTTACTACACCTATTTATACTTTGTTTTGACAAAATTGACTTATAGTTTCCCTAGTACATGGGAGATAGTGCTGTGGTTACGTTGCCACACTTGTTTCACGCGGTGTTTCTATCGTCATTACAATAGGAATCAGTGACCCAACCCTGGCCATATCAATCCATCAAAATAATCTTATTAAAATTATTGTTATATTTCACTTATTCATTTAGTAATTCATAAAGATAAAATAGACATAAAAAAAATTGATTGTTAATAGAATTGAATTTAATTTAATGAACATATTTTATATGTAGTTTGAACTCCTTTGTCAAGTGTCAAAGAATAATTTTGATTTATGTTGAAATGAGAAGTTAATTATTAAAATGTGGTCTTTTTTTGCGAGAGATCCTACAAAGGATTTTCCATATGAAATTGGAGAACCTGTTCCAGGTTTAGAAGATAAAAGTATTTGGACTTTACACAAAGCTAAAAGAAAGGTAATAGAAAATGATGTAACCTATTATGATATAATATTATAAATATTCGATAAAGAAATTGTTTAATTCATTGTAAGGGTTCTAATGTGGGAGAAGATTTGTCTGTGTTCGTATTTGAAGTTAAAAATGGTGGAGAACATTTCTTGGATATTGCACGTACAGCTGTCAAAAGACTTAAAACACTCAGACATCCAAGTATACTTACATATATTGATAGTCTCGAGGTATTAACATACTAAAGTATTTGTACAAATTTTGTTCACATATTCATACAATATTTTTCTATATTTCTATTATATAAATACTTAAGTCATTTATTGTATATAACAATTAAAGTATTTTATAGTACTTTTACTTTAGACAGATAAAATGGTTTATTTAGTAACTGAAAGAGTAGAACCATTACGGAATCGTCTTTCACGCAAATTAGATTCTGAGGATGTCACCAAATTAGATTTATACTTTTCTTGGGGAATATTTCAAATTACAGTATGTATACAATTTTTCCTTTTTTATATTCTTTATAAGATTTTAATTTATACCTTCCAATTATAGCAAATTTATATTGATTTATTTTAATGATAGAGAGCATTGAATTTCTTAAATAACGATGGTAATTTACGACACAACAATATCAATTTATGGGCTGTGTTTGTAAATGAAGAAAGTGGTGAATGGAAACTTGGAGGAGTTGAATGCATGACAGCTGTGGATACGGTATATACAAAATTACCTCCAAATTTTGAAGTATATCAACCACCGGAAATCAAAGAAAATGCAAAACCAGCTACTAAATGGTAAAAATAAAAATAATTGTATAATATTAAACAATAATGTATATATAGATTTTAATATAAGTGATAAATAATTATACATTTATATATTTGGTAATGTTTAAATATTAGTATAAAATTAATTGACAACGTTAATTATATATACTAATCTTTGGAAATGCTAAAGAAGTTATATTTTATCTTTTTAGTGATAAAATTTAATAAACAGCATCATTATATTTTCCTATAATCAACAGACTTTTTTATATTTTTTTCTTCTTTTCAATTTGCAAATAATAATTAAACGAATATTTAGATTCATACATTTTACAATGTCAGTTCTTTCTATATCTAAACATTTAGGTTTAATGTTAACACTATGAAACTCATGAATGAATAAAAAATAGCTCAGTTGACATGTGGGGACTTGGCTGCCTGATCTGGGAAACATTTAATGGTCCACTCAGTACCTTTTCTCAACTTAAAAATATTAGTAAGGTACGTATGTTTTTTTCTTACTGTAATTTATTAAGCAGAATTCAAAAATATGTGGTTTTTTGTTTTATAAGATACCAAAACAATTAACAGTAGTATATCAAGAACTAACAGGCGACAATCCAGAAGGAAGACCTAATCCTGCAGATGTGATAGCACGCTGTCGTAGCAATGGTGGATTTTTCAGAAACAATCTTGTTGATGCAGTTTTATTTTTAGAAGAAATTCAAATGAAAGAGAGAGGAGAAAAGGGACGTTTTTTTTCACAACTTGCTAGCCAATTAGATTCATTTCCAAAAGGTGTTGGAAGATTTAAGATTTTACCACAATTATTAGCTGCTTTTGAATTTGGAGATGCTGGGAGTGCAGTATTACCTCCATTATTGCAATTAGGTAGTCAGTTACCTGATGCTGAATATCAACGTCGTGTTGTACCTTGTGTTGTAAAATTATTTGCATCTAATGTTCGAGCAACTAGACTACGATTATTGCAACAATTAGATAGATATATAGATCATCTTCAACCAGCAACTGTAAATGAAGCAATTTTCCCACAGGTAAAAATTTATAATATTTGTATTAATTATCAAAATTAAATACATCTTTTTATGATAGGTAGCAAGAGGCTTTTTAGATATGAATCCAGCAATTAGAGAACAAACTATAAAATCGGTTGTACATCTAGCACCTAAATTGGATTATAACAATCTTAATGTTGAAACATTAAGGTATTTTGCAAAACTTCAATCGAAGGATGAAGTAGGTGGTATTCGTACAAATACAACTGTTTGTCTTGGAAAAATTGCTCAACATCTTCACCCACAGATAAGACAGAAGGTAAAATATATACATATGTATATCAAATAAGAAGAACATGTAGTCAATCTAATAAATCATCTCATTTAAATATGTGTATAGGTTTTAATAGGTGCATTTATAAGGGGTACACGTGATTCATTTCCACCTGCTAGAACTGCAAGTATTCTAGCTTTAGCAGCAACACAACAATATTTCCTATTACAAGAAGTAGCAAATCGAATTTTACCTGCATTATGTCCGCTTACTACAGATGCTGATAAAGAAGTGAGAGATAATGCATTTAGAACTATACGTGGATTTTTATCTAAACTGGAAAGAGTTTCAGAAGATCCAGGACTTCGTGAATCAATGGGTAAATATATTTTTAATACAATTTTCTCTTAATATCAAATTTTGTTATCTAAATATATCTATTTTGTGTTACTATAGAGGCTGATGTCAATACTGCTACACCTAGTTTGAGTAATGCTGCAGCAACATGGGCAGGATGGGCTGTAGCTGCAGTTACTGCAAAATTTTATCGTAGTCAATCAGATACACCAAAATCATCTAATTCTCACAATACATCTAGAATTTTATTAAATAAACCCGCTTCTTTAGGTTTGCTTCTAATTCTATATCTTCTTATGATATAATTCCTAAATTATGTGAATTTAATATTCTGAATTCTATAAAATTGCAGAACAAGCCAGCAGTTCACAAAGTAGTGCAAGTACAACTGCCACAACAAGTAGTGCAACAAGTATGACATCTCTTGATCATGATCATGAACATGATATTCCTAATGCTACAAATACAAACTCTGACTGCGATTGGGATTGTTGGGATGCTGATAATTGGGGAGACATGGAACAACAGCCTTCAACATCTGCTGCATCTAATACAGCTGCTAATATTTCTATATCTTCTCATTCTCCCAAAACACATGATCAGTGGACAAGTCTCGAAGAAGAACCAGTTCGTATAACATTATACTTATAGATGATTAATAAAGTATAATATGTTTATTTATGAATTTACATATGAATGGTATTATTTTTAGGAAGAAGAAGCAGTTCAAGAAATGGAGGATAAAAATGAAGGAGCTGAAGTAGGTTGGGAAGATACCGAATTTCAACCATTTGAAGATGTACAACCTTTAGATCAAATAGGTAAAACTCAATGTTTTTGTTTTTTCAAGATTCTATTGTAGTAATAATTATATTAAAATTTACAGGTATAATTAGTGGAAACAATAAATTAGAAGAAGCTAAAAGAAAAAGAGAAGAAAGAAAATTAGCTAGACAAAGACAAATGGAAGCCAAAAGAGCCATCAAATTAAGAACTAATACAATTAATAAAAAACTTTAATCAAAATATTTAAAGTCCCCTCTTGAAAATGATACTTAATTCTATCTTAAGTAACTCCAATTAATAACATTTTATATGAAATTTGATTTAAACTTAAAAAAGGGTCAAACACAAATTTTTATTTTGTTTATCAAATTACATCTATACATATATTATAATGTGTGTGTATGGTGTGAGCGCGTGCGTGATGTGTTGTATATATATATATGTTTATGTATGTATACAACACTTACTGTTCTTGCATATCTAGTTAAATCTTAAACTATCTAATTATTTGCTTAATATATAATAGATACATATCCAATATTCTCTTTTTGAGTTTTATAAAATTCCAGAAAAAATAAAATTAGTCTTATAATTCAATAATTATTTTTTTTTATTAAATTTCTATATAAAGGTATAAATATATATACATGCAGCTGTTATGTATATATTATATTTATTAATATTCTAATGGGTCATATAATTTTCTATTACATACAAAATTTTAACTTCACAAGTATAATATAATAGTAGAATTACAATTACAATTTATATGATTTTTAATTTTTTAATTGTAACAATTTAATGCTTATGTGATAAATGTGATAATTGCCAAAAAAAAAACAAAATTAATATTTTCACATTTTATTCAATAAACCAATAATAATTAAGTACTTTGTTTACAAATGAGATTGTTCTGCCGTATTTTCATTTGAGAATCTTATATTAAGACTATTTGCATTATTAGGCTCTCTCTTAAAACCTAAACTTTCATAAAATGGTATGAGATTATCTCGACAATCCAAAGATATTTTATAACAATGTAAATAACGGGCTAGTTGTAAAATAACATTAACAAGTAATTTACCCAAATGTTTACCTCTATAATTATTATTCACAACCACATCTTCCAAACGTCCACGCTACAAGAAATATTTCATGTAAATACAAATTCATATATATATATACCATAATTTTCACACATTAATAAAAAATGTGATACTTACCAATGCACAGTTATGAATAAACTTTTGCTCTGATATCAAAGTTGCACTTCCAATTACCTTAGTATTATTTACATCTTCTATAACAATGATATAATAAATCCCTGTATTTTTCATACTTTGAAACCTATCTACAACAAATTGATATTTACAATTAATGATTTATTATAGAAAATATTTCTTTAAAAAAAATCATTGTTTATCAATATCACTTACTTAGAAATTGTTCTTTATTTACTTTTCCTACTTCTGTTAATTGTGCCAAAAGTTCTAAAAATCCTAGAAATTTAATGAATTAAATAAGATACTTCATATATATATATTTAAAAAATTAAAAGTCTTATGTATTTACAAAATTAGCATACCTTTATCATAATCAGTAGATCTAAGAGGTCTCAACAGCAAACCTTCAACATGTGGTAATGTTAATCGTTCCAATATATTTTTATTAAATAATTCAATGTCTCCTTCTGTATGATGAATATCCTAAACCATATTTTACAAATTCTAATGAAACAGATTGTTATTAAAATACAAACAATTGTACTTTTTGTATTATAATCATAAAAATCAAAATATCTTCACTTAATCCAATTTTAGAAACGTAACACATTTAATAAAATATGTAATTGTTATAAAAAATAAAATAATATTATAGATGATTATAATTTAAAAAAGAAAACTAAGTATAACCTGTTGTAAATTCATTTTAATTCGTAAATTGAATTAATTTAGACAGGAACGTGTTGTAACCTATTTTAATCAGTTAAAACAATCTTTTCAACTTCTCAAAATTATGGACAATATTAATCTCACTTCGGAATATAATGTTAAAGAAATTCTTTGTCGTGGCATTCCAACAACGACACTCTCACTCAATTGCCCGCGGCTATCTCTATTTTTTTTATCGTATTTTGAAAAAAAATTTTCTCAAGATCATATCTTCCGTATATGTTATTATTTTTATTTAATAGAAAGAAGAATAAACAAAGGATGCATTACATCATCAATATATACATATAATCGTTTGTTATTTTATTTTTTTTAAATTCATTTAAATTATTTCATTATAAAATTAGAAATAAAATTATTAATAGGAATACTTTCACTAATTTGAATGTTCATTGAATGTAAATTTACATATCCTTACTTATATTTATCTTAGTTTATTCTGTGACAGTATCATTGAAATAATTGAAACCATAAAATACTTATTTCGCATTAAATATATTAACAAAATTATTTACATTTTTGTAAGATAGAATATTTGAAGGATAACGGAAAGTTATGGGTGTTACCTGAAACATGTATTTAAATAATTGTATAAAAATAGAAAATAATGCAATGACATTTACCATTAAAGATTGTTATTTAATTATCAAAATTTTTTTAAATATATATTATGCAAGTTATTCATTGTTATTCGTCACTTTCATAGCCAATAATATTATAATGATAAATTTGATAGAAGTAATAACAAAATTAAGAACCAATCATATTTAATTATAAACTATTATATCATAAGAATATATATTCTTTTATTTTAAATATTAACTATTCTTTTTCATTCAATTTTTATACCATTTCCATTACGACTATTTAACAGTATTGCAAACAACATACATTCAAGATAAAATATACAAACTGAAGATATAGAATATATTTAATATTTCTTTATAATCAAAAGAATAAGACTTAACTTTTCCTAGAACTTATAGCTTCTATCAATAGATTCCAACAGATGCTAGAACTATGATACATATTTTGAGTTATCAGAGCTATCAGAAACCTCTTTAAATCCAATATTTTATAACGTTCCTACATATTTTTATACTCCTAATCTTCTTTTTTTTTTTTGTATATATCTAACAATAATAAATTCTACAAAAATCGATATAAATAGATAGAGCTTTTAAATAATTGATTGAATTTGAAATGAAACTAATGAAAGTTTTCAATGACATAGGATATGAAGGCTAAAAAACAAATATGGCGACTTGTTACATGCAGCTAAGGTGGCAGCACTTACGAAGAACTAATATGCGTGTTAACTTAACTATGAATATATATAATTACTCTGATCACGGAGAATAGATACCTGATTATGTATACTAATGAGGACACAAAAATTGAATCATCTTATGTTTTATTGTATTTTGTTTTCCATTATCTTAACTTACATAGATAGTAGGCTGACCATTGGCTGAAGCTGCTGCTTGGTGTCTCTTCCAATCAACGACGAGAACTCGACAAAGAGTTATGTTTATTGGACAATTAAATGTCACACATGGTAGTAGCATTGTAAACTAATAGTTCAGTAGTATCAGTCGCTGAAATTAAACAATGTGGAAAGTCTGTATATTTTGCTATTTCTCGACTTAATTTTTTCATGGTTCAATTTCATAGTTCGTGATAACTTTCAGTCAATTGTACAGTAACAAGAAATTATATAATGTAAATTTATGTCTTTATTAATTACATTTTAATATTTAAATATTAAGTATTTTTTATAACTAATTAAAAGACTATAATACATATATACATATTATAAACAATATTTTATAATTTTTTTCTTGTATAAACTATATTTATAATAATTATTTCATTTTTCATGAGTTAATTTAGTGAAGTGTAATTTATTATTATTCAATATATTTTTAATGTAAAGAAATTGAACGTATTTGAATAAGCAAGAATAATTAGTGTATTCAAGAATTATTATATTAATTATTATATTTAACAAAATTACATATAATATACTTAATATAAAATATTGTTCTCCTCTTTTTCAGTAAATCATTATGGCTGATGAACAACCTAAAGGTCGCCCAATGAAATTTCCATACACAGCAGCCGCTCAAATAGCTCAATTTCCATATCGACATTATTATAAACATAATTGGTTGTTGAAATATTGGTTAATTGCTATTGTTGTCAGTGCACCATTATTTCTAAAATTCCAACGATTATGTATGTTATCATTTATGTCACATCTGACATATAGTTAAAATAATGTTACATTTAATTATTTTAATTTGATGAAATTATTCTAATTTCAGCCCATGCAGAAGGAAATGTTAAAATATGGGAAGAAAAGACAAGGAAGACATTTTCAGGGCATGACCATTAAGATAAACTTCAATTAGTATACAAAATACTGTAATATAAAATGTATAAGTAAAAATAAATCAATATGTACTCATATGATCCGTATAAGATCCTTTAATCCGTAAAAAAAAGAAAAAAATGGAACATGGATTGATTTTGAAAATGTTTATTACCAAATTAATTGTATAAAACATACACAATTACAAAGGACTATTTCAATAACCACTGTACAGTATTGTAATGAATAATAATTTGTACCATATATTTGCGTAGGCCCAGCCTAAAGATTTTAATTTTTTTTTTAATTAGTTGATGAAAGAAAGAAAAAATAAGTGTGCTATTACATTAATTTCTGAAAATTTAGTAAAAAAAAAACAAAACCACACATTTACCGCATAATATAATATATTCTGAATTAGCAGGATCTACTTGTTCAGATGTGTAAATTTGTAGATAGTAATAATTATTATATTATCTAAGCATTCGAGTGAATATTTTATAAATACTTAAATGTTGTATTTTTAAATAAGCAAACTCAATTTTTTTAGAGTGAAACATAAAACATGCATTGTTTTTATCTCTTCTTGAAAACATCGAGATTTTCTTCCCTTTCAATGCCATTTTCATTGGTATCGTTCCTGTTTAATTTTGGCTTTTTTGCCATTAACTGTCCTGTGTCATCTTCAAGATTCAATCCTATGTCCTTGCATCGTTTTTCAAAATATTTCAATAATCTTGAACCTGCCCTGTAAACGTAACTATTTTTAAAAGGACGTAGCATTACTTTAATTAAATACTAACTCGTGTTCGGAGGCCAAAGATTCTTCCTTCTTTGTTAGTACAGTTGCACTCGATCTAATTTACTAATATTTATATATATATATTGTATATCTTATACATATATATATATATAAAAAGTCCCACATACGTAATTACACATTCACACATATACATTACATAATATATATTTAATATATAAATTATATTACCTTAATTTACCATTACCATTTCACATTCATAACATTTTTAAATCTATCTAAGTAATGTACATTATTTTGGACATTTTACATTACACAATAATATAAGTATATAATATTTAACATAGTACGTACAAATAAGATGTCTGTATTTACATATATGTTAAATATAATTATTGATTTTATATTTAAATGGCTTAACATAGAAAATAAAAAATATTACAATAAGTAATATATGAAACTTTAAGTTAATAATAATAATAATAATAATAATAATAATTACAATATGCTTATAAAAATATATACATATATTCATATTAATGAATAAATTTAAATACAATCACAGAAATAAAAGTTCCTACCTACTCTCATAATCTCTGGCATCCGAACTATTATAACGTGTTTTATTTCGTTTTTAATTATACTTACTTATAAACAGAACTATGTTCCTGATTATATGCTTGACAGTTGTCAAAGACTAAATGACAGTCATCTAAAAATTGTTGTACGTTTTCATACACTCCATTTGTAAGTTTGTATTTTATTGTACCAAAATCCATAGGATTGGATATAATGTCATGGTAATCTGGAACTTCATCTTTAGTAACAGGAGAAAGAAATGGCCACGAATCTCTATGGTGTCTGATATCTAATAATAAATCTTGTAACTTGGTCATATATCCTTTAACTGTTTTATCTTCTTGGATGCTTTCTGCAGCTGCTCTTTTTGTTGCTCTACGAGTTTGTCTTGGTTCTGTATCATCCGAATTACTATCTGTAAGAAAATATACATATCTTTTGTTATTAAACTAATAAATAAAATCGTATCATATGAAACAGTATAATAATACTCTGTAATAATTTATTGTTAAATATTATCACACAAAAAATATAGTAGTGCTATAAAAATTAATAGTTTACAAAAAGCAATTATTTTATTCGTAAATATATGTTTTTTTTTGTTATGCAGAATTTGGCACGAATAAATAATATATTATTATACAATTATTAAAAGCGTACACATATATTATGAACAAATAGTTTATATTAATAAAAAAAACCACATAATAAAATACTAATAATAACACATATCCTATGGAAAATTAATAAAGCAATTACATAACATACAATTAAAATAATATTTTTTAATAGAAAAAAAAAAAAATTAATCATACAGTTTACCTTTTTCAATGCAGTTTTAAAACATGCAATGAAGCATACATATATAGGATGTCCCATTTAAAATTGAACAATTAAATATTTTCTTTGGATTTAATGATATGAAAAAATTTTACAAGAAAAATAAAAAATAAAAAATAAAAGATTTAAGGGAAATATTTAAATATTCAATTTAAAATAGGACACTTTGTGTCATAGGTTGCGTATCATATATAATAATGATTATATATTGCAATTAATAAAAAAAATGCTACGAAATGCTACTACTTATCTGTAAAAGGATTTTATGAGCATCTTTAGAAAAAATTAGACATTTATAAAAAAAAGGGATAATAATACAGACCATCCCAGTCTGTAGATTCTGTAGTGAGGAGGTTCTTGGCAAAGCCATGGATACGAGAGCGTGCTGCTGCTGCGCACAACCTCTCCTTGTCTCTTTCCCTTTCACGCCCCCTCACTAAGAACATAGTAAAAACTAAGAAATCTTTAAACACTATTAAGATTATAACAATAAAGCATTCATGTATTTTTTTTTCCATCAAATTTTGATTGCTCCTAATGTACTCAAATTTATAGTAAAATGGCAATCAGTGCATATAACTTATTTTTGTAACTTTATACCACAATGTCAGCAAGACTAAACGACTTAGTGTTTGTTGTAATGTTGTTTAAAAGTATTCTCTCTTACCAAATTTA